AATGCAGCACTTTTCTTTTCTAATATTTTCATAATTGATAAATCAATAAATTTTTTTTTTGAATAGTCAGAAAATTTTATTGTAGAATAAATGACCTTAGAAAATGTTGAATGGTTTTTTGAGCAATTGATATGAAAAAGAAACATTAAAAAGAATGATTGAGATAAAAATAATCCATTGTTAACTGACAAATAGAAATTACTGAAAATAAAGTCAAAAGTTGTGCGAAAAAAAAGTCTAAAAAACAATTGGTATATTAAATGATATCAAAATTGCTGATAAATTTGCCTACCTCATCACCATGCATATTGCCAACATATTTAAACTCGGGTACACCAATTTGATGTTGTTGTGGACTTTTTGAAATAACCATAACCCAAAGATTACGATTCTCTGAACTTTGGCCTGCCGTATAAAGCGTTGTTATTTTTGGATAACTTTTTGCGTATTCCTTCAACCAATTGGTCATCGCCGTAAAGTTATGATTACGAATCCTATAAAAAATAGATGCTAATTTTAGTGAAGTAATTTTTTAGGAGAGTAGAAGAAAAAAAAAAAAAGCAAAGAACAGACAATAATCATGGAACAAAAGTTTTTGGTAAGCAAAATTTGAGGAAAAGAAAAACCTGAAAAATCAAAATAGCATTGAAGAAAAGAAAGCTAAATGACTTTTTGGTACATTATACATATATGAAAAACACAGTTTTTAGTGTCTTTGTTTTGTTTTTGCTTCCTTTTTTCTTCCTCTCCTTTCCTTTCCTTTCCTTTCCCTTCCTTTCTTTCCTTTCCTTTTTCTTTCTTTCTGCTCCATTTTGTATTTTTATCTGCTATTGTTGTTGCTATTGTTTTTGTTGATCACTCAAACAATGAGTGAAATCGACAGGAGTTTGATAAAATTAACTGAATAAAACGATCAACCCTCCTCTACCCTCCCTCTTCAATAAAGTGAACTGTGAAGCTGCAGTTGGCAGTTCCATCTTTGGTTTATCATCCAACTGGTAGTGATTGCCGTAAAAAAAAAATGGCTTTTGCATATACCTTTGCCGATCGACATCTTTAAAATCGCCAATTAATTGTTGCATTTGCTGCTGTGTTCGAAACAGACTTCCATCATCGACTTTTTGACCAAAATATTTATACAGACGATCAGTATGTGCAGCAATTTCCTCGTCTCGTGTTGCAATAATTGCACTGTTCCAATCGATGCAACAACCTTTTGAAATAATCAACAAAACTAACCACAACAACCGATTATTATGATATACCCAATTTGAACCGTTGTTATCGGTCATTCCCCCCTAAAAGAAACCAAAAATATATACATTTATACTACTGAAAAAAAATCTTTTTTTTTTTTTACAGAAAGAAATTCAACAGCAACAAAATATCAACGAATATCAATAAATTTTTGAAAAAAAAAAAAAAGAAAAAGCAACAACAACAACAACAGAAAAAACTGTAGTCAATAATCAATTCATATAGCAATATTTTTGGTACACTTTTTATATGAAATATAAAATAAACAGAAAAAACAAAAACAAAAATCTTTTACTGAATCCTAAACATTTAAAGGAAAAAAAAAACAACAAAAAAGAAGCAAACAAACGGAATAGACTAAAAAAAAAAAAAACCTGAAATGCCAACTAATTTTAGGCGTCAACCAAAAGAGTAGGCCAAAAAAAT